AAATTTAAAAGTAGTATAATTACTATACTAATAACCTTTGGCAACAAGCAAAGCAACTAATGCTAGCATAGTTAATTTTTAGGTAGAATGAGTCACACCTAGTTACTTTTAAAAGTTACTTCAAAATAGCATTTATAGGCATGTTGATAGAATTTTCTAGGTTTTATGTCATTGTTTTATCATCACTAAGTACACAAAAATGGACAGCATTAGCATTGGCTACTAGAGCAGTGGTCAGGGAACAGGGGTAAATTACCCCAAGTAGCGTAAAAATGAAAATCCTGGGGGTAATGAGGACGGTCGCAGCAGGCATTTTACCCCCAGGCATTTTATTTCCGACGATGCTGTGTGTAGGCGGGGATTCCGTCGCGGGGAGAGTGAGCCCTGGCGAGGAACTGCACAGGGCACCCACCTGTCCTCCTTGCCTCCAAAGTGGGGGGGGAGGGTGGCGTACCAGGCCAGCTGGAATCTTTGCCCAGCCGAGCCCAGGCTGGGGCTCTCCTTCCTGCCTCACCTGAGCTCATGACCAGTGGACCTGCGGCGCCCACCTCCCCTTGCCAAGGACATGCTTTCCCAGCGGTGTGGCAGTTCCAGACTGGCTGCCCGGACGGTCGCCACAGGTTCCGGGCGAGCGCAGAGGCAGGGCGGGGGTTGGCCATGGACGGCAAGAGCCAAGGGGGGGTAATGTCAACATAAACAAATTTTTTTGGGGGGTAAAAGGTAAAAAAGTTTCCTGTCCCCTGTACTAGATGAAACCAGAGTATTTCCTTGTGCTTATCTGACTTATTACTATAGTAATTATACAGTAAAGCAACACATCAGTAATGCATAATGCAATAAATTATTTGTGCATGCATAGCAATAATAATGATAAATAAGCTGCTGAAAAATAATGAGTAACACAAGTTCTTTCAAAGTCGTACTGATCTGATACTGACCACTTGCAGATAGACAGTGCCAAATTTCCAGAATAAAATCTCAGACTATTTTGCAACTTGATGATACGGTTAAAATTCTGAACGTTGCTGCCAATTTTGTATGGAATATTTTGTAAGAGGGATAAAGCAACAGTGCAAAGGGTATGTTCCAAAATATTTTCTTTTGTTTGATATAATATTTTACTGTACACGGAGAACAAGCCAATAATATGGAAAGAACGGATTGATTAGGACATCAGCATTTTGAATTATGAGGAACATCTCTTCTCATGTTATTTAGAACTAGTTCAGCAATATTGCTGTGAACCATGACATCAGTGGTAATATATGCACCATGTAATTGATTAATTATAATCAGACCATATGTTGTACCTATTCTTCTGTGTATTACATAGATGATTCCACTATCACATTAAACTACAAGATGATTATTGCAAACAACAACAATAACGAACCACACACAAGCAAAGAAAACCCTATTACTCCTAGGAAGTCTGGGACTTGGAGGCCAGTTTGGCAGTTAATGGGAAATATTGGGAAATTACAGTATATCACAGAAGTGAGTACACCCCCTCACATTTTATAAATATTTTAGTATATTTTTTCAGGTGATAACATTGAAGAAATGACACTTGGTTACAATGTAAAGCAGTGAGTATACAGCTTGTATAACTGTAAGACTGAATCCACGGGAGAGAGTGAGCTCCCGTCACTTCTCCCAGCTCTTGCCAACCTAGCAAATCGAAAGCATGCAAAAATGCAAGTAGATAAATAGGTACCACCTCAGTGGGAAGGTAATGGCGTTCTGTGTCTAGGCGTGCTGGCCACGTGACCATGGGAACTGTCTATGGGCAAACATTGGCTGTACGGCTTGAAAACGGGAATGAGCACCGCCCCCTAGAGTTGGACACGACTGGACATTTATCAAGGGGAACCTTTACCTTATAACAGTGTAAATGTGTTGTTCCTTCAAAATAACGCAACACATAGCCACTAGTGTCTAAACCAGGCTTGTCCAACCTGCGGCCCGAGGACCG